AAAAAAAAAAAAAAAACAGCTAATGTTACTTAAATGGGTTAAAGACCTGAGCATAAAACCCCAAACTATAAAACTCCTAGAAGAAAACACATGGGAAAATCCTCATGATGTTGGATTTGGCAAGGGCTTCTTAAATATGACTCTAGAAGCACAGGGAGAAAAAGCAAAAATAGACAAAGAGGACTACAACAAACTTTAAGAAATCTGCCCAGCAAAGGAGACAGTCAAGACAGTGAAAAGGCAGCCTACAGAATAGGAGAAAATATTATAAACCATACATCTGATAAGGTGTTACTATCTGGAACAGTGATTTTCAACCAGTGTGTCAAGGATCTTAGGCCAAGGATCTTGAAATTCTTTAAACATTGTTAAATTATTTCAAAAGAATTTCAAGGCACAGTAAGTATATTTTTCTTTTTACTCTTTTCTTTTTTTTTGATCAACATAATTTAAGTGTGCCCCAGAAGTTTAACTATAGGTTCAAGTGTGCAGTGAGATAAAAAAGGTTGAAAAGGAAAAATACTGATCTAGAATATAATTATATATCTGCTGATAGATAAAGATGTTTTGTTTGTGATAGCTGATATGGTTGATCTGTGTTGGAAACATTCAAATGGAACTGTGAGAAAAGAATATAGGTCTATAGGCACAAGTTACTCTGTTTTCAGAATAGCCCCTGAGGGAATGTCTTTTCTTTGGAAAGTATGAGGTACAATCCTAGAGAATGGCCTACATCTGTTAATTTAGCAATAAAAGTTTGAATCATTAAAACCAAAGTTAAGCTTTTCTCACATAGCCCTTTTGAGTTCAGTTTAGCAAGGTAGTTCCACGTTGGTTTCTGTTTTGCTCAACAGACTATGAGGCATTCCCCTAGGCCTCTTTGAGTCCTGATCCCTTGCATTTTGCTAAAATCGGTTTAACTGGTTTTCGTGTAGGGACATTTATCTCTCTGACAGACTGGGCAGCACAGACTTCGTAGAAACAATCTCAGGTTTTGCTACGTAGATCACCTGTTACGTAGCATACAGAACACTCCATGCCAATGAAAACTTAAGTTTTGAAGAGTGAAGATTAACTGTACTCACTTTTACTTCCATATTCCAGAAATAGCCACTTTAAAACGTTTCATTTTAGTTTGGTCTATTTTACTTTAAAGAGTTCCTGTGAGGACAAGGGACTCTGTTTGCTTTTGCCTTTATATTCCAGCCCCCAGTACAATACCTGTAGATTATAGGCAGTCAAGAAATACAGTATTTTTGCTGAAGGGAGGAAGGTAGCCAGCAAGCAAGGACGGTTTTTAATGTAACTTTTTCAGCTAGATAATGCATAGTATGTGGCTGTGTGCCCAGCTTTTGAAACATTTTCAACTCCTTAAGTGAGTATCTATTATTCTGCACTTGGCATGGCTAGGCCTCCTTTAAAGTCTTTACTCCCGAATTAGAGTCTCTAGCATTGCCTTTCTTTTTCAGCAGTTTTGAAGTAACAGACAGAAGGCAATCGGATTAACAGATCTGAGGCATACAAATGGAGCCTGTTGGAGATTAATGTTCAAACTTCAAATATCTTTTAGTTGCTTTTAATCTTGACTGTGGAAATACTTTTCTCCCTCTTTATTTCACTCTTTCTAATTGAAATCTTTATCTTGCAGCCACAACACCAAGACGACCACCTGGTTGGATCCTCGTCTCTGCAAGAAAGCCAAAGCCCCTGAAGACTGTGCAGATGGAGGTAGATCAGAAGCCTTTGTATCATGTTAACTCTCTTTACCCCTTTCTTCTTGCTTAGACAGTGGGTTTTCCAAAACCCTAAACAACACAGTGTTCAGAAGCACATAAGCAGTGGGCGGTGTCACAGCCAGCTGACTGTGGCAATCACATCATTATGTCTGATTTCATCAGAGACTTCATTTCTCTCTTTAAGGATTACATAATTCTCTTATTTTTAAAAATCCATAAAAATATATTTGCTCTATTTTGATACGGGTTCTGAGGATAAACTTTTAAGATTCTAAATCAATATTTAATAAATGAGGCACATTCTGAACTACAAAGCAGCCTTATGTTTGTTGAGCTTTCAAAAATATATTTCGTTTAGTCTCTATTATGATAGATATGTTAGTGTCTGTGGCTATTTCTTTAGCCATTTGCAGAAGCAGCAGAAACTCGCTGAAAATCTTTAGTAAAAATAAACAAGTCTTTAGTGTTCCCACACACATAAGAAGTTTTTACTTGTTAAAGGAAAGTTATTTCTCTAAAAATTATCAGACAATAATGCTCACCTGTATTATACAGATTCTACTTAATAGTATAGTTTTGTAAATATGTACAGAATCTATTCCATTTAAAATTGTTTGTTTTATCATCTTCTTGAACAAACGGCACAGATGGATAAAATATGCATTTGTTTCATATCACTAATCAGTGATACAATGAAAAAAAAACCAGGCAGTAACCCTTGTATATTGCTGGACCATTGCAAAATGGTATAGCCACTGGAAAACAGTTTGGCAGTTCTTAAAAGGTTAAATAGAAATTTACTATATGACCTACTAGTTTTCATTCCTAGTTATCTACCCAAGAGGAATGAAAATAAAAGTCCACATAAGACTTGCATACAGTTGTTCATAGCAGCACTATTCATAATAGCCAAAAGTGGAAACTCAAATATGCATTAACAAATGAATAGATAAATAAAACGTAGGGGCTGGGCATGGTGGCTCAAACCTGTAGTCCCAGCACTCCCGGAGGCCAAGGCAGGTGAATTGCCTAAGCTCAGGAGTTCAAGACCAGCCTGAGCAAGAGCAAGACACCATATCTAAAAATAGCCAGACGTTATGGCTGATGCCTATAGTACCAACTATTCGGCTGAGGCAAGAGAATTGCTTGTGCCCAAGAGTTTGAGCTTGCTGTGAGCTATCATGCCAAGGCATTCTACCAAGGGCCACAAAGTTAAACTCTGTCTCAAAAAATAAAATAAAATATAGGCCAGGCACGGTGGCTCACACCTGTAATCCCAACACTTTGGGAAGCTGAGCTGGGAGGATTACTTGAGTCCAGAAGTTTGAGACCATAGTGAGAAACAATTTTAAAGATTGGCCAGGTATGGCAGCACGTCCCTGCTGTCCTGGCTATTTCAGAGGCAGAGGCAAGAGGCTTACTTGAGCCCAAAAGTTCAAGATCATACTGAGTTGTGTTCACACCACTGTACTTCAGCCTGAGGGAGGCCCTGTCTCTTAAAATAAATATATAAAAATAAAATGTGGTATCCCTCTACAGTTGAACACTATTCGGCAATAAAAAGGAACAATGTACAAAGGCTGAAACATATAAACCTTAAAAACATCTGGAAAGAAGCTGGACACGAAAGAGCAGGCATTATAAGATTCCACTGATATGAATGTCCAGCATGGGCTGCTATGGAAACAGAAAACAGTGGTTGCCTGGAGCTGAGGATAAGGGTAGAGATTGATTATAAGCAGAGCAAGTGATCTTATTGGAGTGATGGAAAACTCTAAAATTGGATTGTGGTGATTTTTGCACAACTTAATAAATTATTTAAATGATTGAATTGTTTACCTACAACTCATGAATTTCATATTATGTAAATTATACCTCAGTATACTTGTTTTTAAAAATAGCCAAAGGACTACACACTTCACAAAAGAAGATAAAAGAGAATAGTCGATGTTGAATAAGAATATTAAACAATGCTGCTCACTGGGTGTCACTCTGGACACCTAATTTATATTGATCAGAAAAAAGAGATGCCAGCCACACTCACTGGGAGGGCCCAACGTACCGTCCACACCAACTACAACTACTAATGGCAAATACACTAAGAGCCAAGATCAATGAGACTTGGCACATGGAACCTGAGTTTTTTGTTGGCAGGCTTGTAAAATTACCTGAATATTTTGGAGAACGTTTGGCAGTTTCCTATGAGGTACTGTCCCAAGAGAAATGAAAACGTGTCTCCAAAAAGACTCTGCAAGAATGATCACGGCAGCTTTTTCATGCCAGTTCACACTGGAAACATGCCTGATATCTATCACTAGGAGGATAGGTAAATAATTTGCAGTATAGTCATGCAGTGAAACCCTACTTATCAATGAGAAGAAAACACTGCTGCTAACACTTGACAGCACGGATGAGTGAGACCTCTGGGTGGGAGAAACCAGCACAGAGACGAGGATCTCAATTACCCGTTATTTAAAGCCTGGAAACAGGAAAAACTCCTTAGTGACGATACAAATCAGATGATCAGGTGGGAGAAGGGATTATTTCAGGGCTGAACTGAAATAATTCTGTGGAATCCTGGGTGTACGTTCTCCGTCTTCTTGGAGGTGGCAGCTGATCGGAGTTGCCAAAACCCGTTTTTAGTAATTGAATGAGTGTTTATATTGACTTTTTAAAATTTAATTATTATTAAATCTTAACTATACATTTATGGGGTACAATGCAACGATATGTAATTTGTTTTTAATAATTGAAAGTGCTTCAGACTTGTGCATTTCGTCATATGTAAATTATACCTCAAAAAATAATTTTTTATACCATCTCTCTCTTGTCCGTAAGGCTTTTAGTAATAAGTTCCTTTCATGGTGAAATCAGCCATCGTAAAGGCAAACGAGAACATACCATTCTGAAGAAGGTGACTTTCTTGACTCTAAGTGTGGTTATAGTCTTAACTAGAGCCGTGTTTTCCAACCTTTTTTTGTCTCATGGCACACTATAGCTAAACTTCCATAGCACACTTAAATTATATTGATCAGAAAAAAGAGTTTAAAAAGAATATACTTAACTGTGCTTTGAGCTTCTTTCAAAAATAATTTAATTAATGGTCTTGGCAGCACACCAGTTGAAGATCTCAGCTGTCCAGCCTGTCTCTCTTCCTGCCCCTTCATCAGTCCAGTTTACTTCTCTGCCTTGTCCTGTTTCTTTTGTAGAAGGCGTTTACCTTTATAACGTTATCAATTTACTAGGGCTGGCCCCGTTACCTAAATCTCTAGCATTGTCTTCTGTTCTGAATTTTATTTCTGTTTTTTTCTTGCTTTGGGGCCTTTGTTTTTAATTATCCTGGTAACACTTAAACACATTCAAAACCAACTTTGATGTCCTCCTTCTAACACCGTCCCCTGTTTCTGTCACTTAAGTGCCGTCCTCGTGACCACTGGGCCAAATCCTTGCGATGGCACTTGCTGCTGCTTCTCTTCTTGCTCTGTCACCTGTCTAGGGGTAATGTCTGTCGCTTTTTCTTTTCTCTTGTTTTTGCCAATATACTATCAGGAAAAGTTCCAACATATCAGAATATTGAAAGAATTTTACAGTTACCATACATCTGCTCCCCCAGGCTATTCCAGCACCATTTGCTACTTTGGCTTTTTCACTTACTATATCTTTTTGTGCTTTCTCTGTCCATCCTTTGTCTTTGACGCTGTCTCCCTCTCCATCCCCACATCACCACATACTCGGATTATTCCTTGTCATTGTTCCTCCAGTTACTTCTCCTTCTTCTGTATATCCTTTATGCCAGTGGTCTCCAAAATGATGACACTCAGCCTATTGGTATATAAGAAGAAAATATTAGAACTTATTTTTCATAATATTATTATTGAAAAAAAAAAGAAACTAAACTTGAGTATTATATACAGATTTGTAATGGCATTCTTCATTCCATATGCTAGCCCGAGTGTCTTGAGGGAGGCATGGGTGTGACATCCTTGCCTTATTGTCAAGGGCCCTGTGAAGTTTTGCAATTCCCTTGTGGCCAGTTAAGTGGATTTAGAGACTATGTTACATAGTTTTTAAAATAACCTATGCGAAATGGAAAGTCTTTTTAAACATTGCTTACAAGATTTCTGTAAAGTACTGCTGATGATACTAACACAGACGCGTGCAAGCCCAGGCTAATTGTAAGAAAACGGCAGAGTGGACACTCTTCGTATACTTCATAGACGCTTTGTGCCACCTCAGTGAGGTAAAATAGTGATCATTGTTTAGTTGTCTCCTTTTCAAATATCTCTTTTTGCATATGCTTTATTATATACACATTGGTGGAGTGATGGAGTGACACAAACATATTTATGAATAAATATATCTTGGGGGGTAGATGTCTAGATTTTATACTGAGAAGGCAGCACGACCAGAAAACCTTGGAAGTGGACGGCGCCTGTGGCTCAGTGGATAGGGCGCCGGCCCCATATACCAACGGTGGCGGG